AATAATAATAATAATAATAATAATAATAATAATAATAATAATAATAATAATAATAATAATAATAATAATAATAAAAAAAAAATTGATGTGTTACTGACTCTGGGCAGCTTACGCATTTTGTAAATGTTGTCATGTCTCCTCTTTTAGCCTCTTCTTACAACTGACACTTTCAGGTGAGCAGCCTGGGAGGATTTTGTGTGCAAAAAGGACACAGATCCATTTGGTAAATCTCACTAAACTAAGTAATTCCGGGAAAAGAGTAATCATTTCTGTTAGATGGTGATCTTTTCACACGGACATGACAGAGAAGCCATTTAAGGTGTGTTTTCTATCAGCTCAGGAAATTGGATACAGAATGATATGTCTAAGCTACTGAAAGACAGATTTCTGTTGAATGTCTAAAGTAAAATTCCAGAGTGGTTTTACAGAGGAATTAATTACTAAAAGGATTTGATGTGCTTCTCTCTAGCAGATGCATTTGTGCAGAGGCCAAATGGCCATCTGTTTCTGGTGCTTTAATTCTATTTATTTATTTATTTATTTATTTATTTGCACAAAGCAGGGTCAACTCGGAGACCCCACTCTTTATTTCTACGAATCAACACATTTGCACTTGACATATTTATGAGCCTTCCACAATTAGAACCATTTCAACCGATTATCTCCTTAAAAATATTTAGCAAACACGCCGAGGAGAAGGTTCACCTGTGCAATGTTTTCAATGCATAATAATTTATCTCTAGATTAAAGTCTTTCACAGAATTTCCGAGAGTTCATATATCTTTCAAAGCATATCAACCAGAATAGTTTAATGTCTTGGCAGACTTATGCACTTAACTGCAACTCAAATCCCAGAGCTATTTTCTTTCCTGACTCTGTGATGTGAATCTGCTCTGGAGTTTTACTTAAATTCAATTTGCATTTTATTCATCTGATTCATGAATCCAGGGTGTGTGTAGATTTCTGTTTTGAGATTATTTCCTGCTCACCTGTGAGCAAGGCCAGTCCTACGACTAGTGGCAGCAGCCTGCATGTCGCCATGGCTGTGAAAAAAGAGAATGGAAAATGGTAATTAAGGATGAGGAACTGGGCGAGGATAAAAATGCAATAGGCTCTTTACTTTTATCCCACCTGTATAACTTTTTTAAATACCTCAAGGTGGCGAACATACCTAATACTTTTTCCTCCTCCTATTTTCCCCACAACAACAACAATCCTGTGAGGTGGGTTGGGTTGAAAGAGAATGGCTAGTCCCAAGTCCACCAGGAGGAGGAGGAAGAAGAAGTATTTGGCATGTTCAGCTCCTTGACTTATTTATAAAAATAATAAAAATGGGATAAAAAAGGAAACAAATCCAAACAAATCCAAACTACAGAAAGAAAGAAAGAAAAAAAGCCATTTGTACTACAATGCCCATAAACAGGAATGGGCCACCTCTCCGCGCCTGTTATTCTGAAATCCCGAAATTGTAAAAAGACACGATAAATTTAGAAGTCGTAGAAACAGTGATACAAAGCAATGTAAAATCAATATGGAAAAATTGCTCTCTCTTGTTTTCTCACATACTCTCTCTCTCTCTCTCTCTCTCTCTCTCTCTCTCTCTCTCTCTCTCTCACACACACACACACACACACACACACACACACGCACATACACACTATATTGCTGGTTGATTTTTGCAGCTATTCCCAATATATCTACTTGCAAATAAATCCCATTCAATTCAATGCGATGTATTTCTGATTAGAGTTAGCCAAAACCAAACGGGGGTGTTGGACGTTAAATCTCCAATTCTTTTTCTGCTGCTCTCAACCCCTTGAAATGTTTTTTAGGGTGAGGTGGGGGGTTTGCAAGGGGAAGAGAAACTTTGGTTTTTCTCATTTATTTTGATGAAAAGATTGATTAAACGAAGCAACCCATTTTAACACGAGTGGAACGGCTTCAAAACGCTCATTATTGTTTCACACCAGCTGTGGCTAATTTAAAAAATATTTCTTCTTTCTATTAGGGTGGCAACATTTTCTTCAATTCATTGGTTCATGGAGCTGCTCCAAAATCAATCAAAACCATTTTCCCCCATGCACAACTCAAAATGCTTAAAAAAAAAAAATGCCTGCCATGATAAGAGCATTCAATTATCTTTTTTTTTTTTTTAAAGGATGTTTCCTCTTTTTATTCAAATTCACTATTTTATTCAGAGGCAAATTGCTCGAGCTGTAATTGATTAAAGCTCGTATTAACATTTGAGGGGATTATATCTATTTAGGGGCCTAGATTTACACCTGGTGCCAGAAATCTTTGGATGAAGCCCCTAGAAATCCCCCAAACAGGCCTCTCAAATGGTAATTTTTAAAAAAAAAAAAAAGTATTCATAAACATTTTGAATAGGGTGTATTGTCAGGGTATATCATTTACAAAAGAAAAACAAAGAGAGAACAAAAAGAAATATTAACACATAAACTGGTAACTGTAGTAATAATGTAGCAGAATAGTTTTAGCTAAATTTTTCTTTATATTAGCTTATTTCTAATTCTGTTAATTATATTGGCATGTTTATAATTATAAACAGTCTTTATATTTAATTCATACAAAAAAATTCATTTAAAAAAATGGTAATTTTTGAGGTGACAGCATAAGCAGTTACCGTATTTTTTGGAGTATAAGATGCACTTCCCTCCCCTAAAAAAGGGTGAAAATTTGGGTGCGTCTTATACATCGAATGTAGCCCCGCCCACCCGCCGGTCCTCACCCTTTTGGAGCTAATGAGAGCCTCTCAAGCAGAATTTTTTTTTCTTATTTTCCTCCCCCCAAAATAAAGTGCGTCTTATACTCCAAAAAATACAGTATATTAGTAATAATTGTGAGAGGGATCTTGGAGTTCTAGCGGACAATCACTTAAATAGGAGCCCGCACTGTGCTGCAGCTGCCAAAAAAGCCATCACAGTCCTAGGCTGCATTAACAGAGGGATACAAAATTGTTGAGAATGGCTTCTGATGTGCACATTATTTTGAAAAAAATATCCCAGATTATTGTCAGATTTCCAGGGAATTATCCGCTGCAGAGTTTCCCCCAGCTTGGTACCTTCCATCTATCATGAGATAGAAATCCCATCCATTTGGGAATTTTGGAAGAGGTGTTCCTAGAAGAAGAGGCTGTATTATATAATCTCAGGAGATAACAGAATGAAAGAGTTGGAAGGGACATTGGAGGTCAACCCCCTGCTTGAGCAGGAGACCCTAAACCATTCCAGACAAGTGTCTGTCCAGTTCAGTATTGGAGAACCCATAACTTCTGAAGGTAAGCGATTCCACTGATTAATTTTTCTAACTGTCAGGAAATTCCCCCTTAGTTCTAGATTGCTTCTCTCCTTGATTCATTTCCACCCATTGCTTCTTGTCCTGCCTTCAGGTGCTTTGGAGAAGAGTTTGACTCCCTCTTCTTTGTGGCAGCCCCTGAGATATTGGAACACTGTTATCATGTCACCTCCTAGTTCTTCTTTTCACTAGACTAAAGGTAAAGGTTCCCCTTGCACATATGTGCTAGTCGTTCCTGACTCTAGGGGGCAGTGCTCATCTCTGTTTCAAAGCCAAAGAGCCAGCGCTGTCCAAAGACATCTCCGTGGTCATGTGGCTGGCATGACTAAACACCGAAGGTGCATGGAACGCTGTTACCTTCTTACCAAATTGGTCCCTATTTTTCTACTTTCATTTTTTGTTACGTGGGACTAGGGATTCGAACTGCTGAACTGCCGACCTTTCGATCGACAAGCTCAGCATCTTAGCCACTGAGCCACTGCATCCCTTCACTAGACTAGCCATGCCCAGTTCCAGCAACTGTTCTTCATATGTTTTAGCCTCCAGTCCCCTGATCATCATCTGTTCTTCTTCTCTGCACTCTTTCTAGAGTCTCATCTACTTTTTTATATTGTGGCAATCAAAACTGGAGCCAATAGTCCAAATGTGCTCTATACCAAGGGATTATAAAGTGGTATGCTAAGCAATGGAAATGTGAGTTAAACCCCCATAGAAGCAACAGGTGGAAACTAATCAAGGAGAGAAGCAACTTAGAATTAAGGAGAAATTTCCTGACAGTTAGAACAATTCATCAATGGAACAATTTGCCTCCGGAGGTTGTGGATGCTTCAACACTGGAAGTTTTTAAGAAGAGATTGGATAACCATTTGTCTGAAGTGGTGTAGGGTTTCCTGCCTAAGCAGGGGGTTGGACTAGAAGACCTCCAAGGTCCCTTCCAACTCTGTTATTCTATTCTATTCTGTTCTGTTCTGTTCTGTTCTATTCTATTCTATTCTATTCTATTCTATTCTATTCTATTCTATTCCATTCCATTCCATTCCATTCCATTCCATTCCATTCTATTCTATTCTACTCTATTCTATACTCTATGACCTCTCTGCCACAGTTGTTAAACGAATTACTGCAATTGTTAAGAGACTCAACCGGCTGTTAAGCGAATCAAGCTTTCCCCATTGACTTTGCTTGTTGAAAGCCAACTGGGAAGGTTAACCATAGAGATCACCGAATCCCAGAACGGTACAACTGTCATAAACGCAGGCCAGTTTTCCAAGTGCCCCCAATTTTGATCACAGGACCGTGGGGGATGCTATCATGGTAACAAGCCTAAGTCACTTTTGTTGAGTATCCCACTTACCTGCTGATGAGAGCCTTTATCCCAGCACCACCTTTGCAGACTTGATATATTGATGGTAAAACTCATTCATATATAGGAGTGACCGGTTGAGTCATTATTGTTTCTGGGAAGAGGGAGGTTAATTGTGGCTTTTGGGTCAATATGAACTTTGTTCTCCTTAACACGAAAGGGTCTGGATTATTTAAAATGGCATTTAATTCACCCCATCAGGGTGTGGCCCAAGTATTGAGGCTGGGATCCTAGCTATGTTAGCTATAGTTTTTTTTTTTTACCCCTGGTAGAATTGAAGCGGGGTGAAATCCAAAACTTTTCCCTACCGGTTCTGTGGGCGTGGCTTGGTGGGGGTGGCAGGGGAAGGATATTGCAAGATCTCCATTCCCACCCCACTCCAGGGGAAGGATACTGTAAAATCTCCATTCCCTCCCCACTCCTGGGGGAAGGATATTGCAAAATTTCCATTCCCACCCCTTTCTGGGGCCAGCCAGAGGTGGTATTTGCTGGTGCTCTGAACTACTCAAAATTTCCGCTACCAGTTCTCCAGAACCTGTTAGAACCTGCTGGATTTCACCCCCGAATTGAAGGAATTTGAGCATTCTCTCTTTCTTTTTAAATCTCCAGCCTACATCCGCTTATTTGGCGTAATTTCCCATGCTCTTTCATAAATTTTGTTCTCTGATATGTTTACAGAAAGTTAACCTTTTTGGAAAATTTCCCTGTGGAGGTCTTTGACAGTATAATTGGATAGATGTTTTTAACGGATGTAACTCTGAGATCAATGAAATACATTCCCACATAAGAAGTGATAGGATTGGAGTTTACATAAACACCCAAGATGGACAGATAATATTATTTCTTACCTGGTTTGTAAATTTCCATTCAAAGCTCTTTTCAGTTTGCCTTAATCTTTAAATGTTAAAATTTCAAAAATCCACAACATATGAATTATTCAGTTAGCATTCTGGAACGTATTTTTTTTAAAAAAAATGCATTTCCTTCACATTACAGCTGGATTCCAAATACAATGTTTATTTGCAATTTTCGTAATTAGGGTTGCAGCTTGCACTAGAAAATTCAGAGAAGTGTGTCTTCGCAGTTTGCATTACAACCTGCAGTTTACTTGAAGCAGTTTCAAACACACTTACTTGGAAGAAAGTTTGGCTGAAGAAAGTGGAATTTTACTTTTGGGAATACATTGCTAAGGTCTGGTGGCCTAGAGGTGGAGTTCTCACCTCACAATCAGGAGGCTGTGAATTCAATCCTAGATAGCGGCAGATATTTCTCTCTCTGGGCGCAATGAGAAAATATCTGCTGTGACCTTTGCATAGGCATCAGGCAGGGCATCCAGCCAGTAAATGCTCAGCTCCATTTAATCTCCCCAATTGCCCCCCCAATGCAAGGATTATGGCAGGGGTGTCAAGCTCAATTTCATTGAGGGCCACATCAGGGCTGTGGTTGATCTCAGGGGGCTGGGTGAGCATGGCTAAGTGGGTGGGTGTGGCCAATTGGGTGGGTGTGGCCAGCTTGACACCACTCCCCAAACTGCTGGCATGTTTCCTCTTCGCACTGGGTAGACCAGACTGAAGCCATGCTGGCCCGATGTTTCCTCTTTGCATTGAGTAGACCGGACCGAAGCCATGCAGGTAGACCAGGCCAAAGAGATGCAGGTAGACTGGGCCAAAGTGACACAGGCCAGCCCCTTACATTTTCCAGGATAGTCCCACAGGCCGGATCTAACCACATCACAGACCATATCTATCCCAATGGCCTTGTGTTTGACACCCCTGGTTTATGGGGTTGTTAAAAGAAAAAAGGTTGCTAAGGTCTGGTTGAGTCTTATCTCCCAAACACCAGAGAAGTTGAGTTTGACACATTCCTTAATGGAACAACTATTTTAGGAAAAATCGGGCAGTTTGGTTTTCTTAGAGTCTAATGCATGGCTTTCAACTAAACATTTATCTCATAACATAATGTAGGATGGGAGTATTTCCAGAGGAGTTTCAGAACCTCTATCATTTTCCTCTACTTTAGCCCTTAGGCCATTTTCTGCTCCAAGTATTTTCAGCATCTTTTTTCTTTTTCTATAGCCTTTCTCAGAACTTTACATTTAAATGTTTGCCAATCCATCCTATCAATATTTGTTTTCCGCTTTCACAGGGGATTAAATAGGAAGGGATTTTTACTGTCATGGCTCTTTAATCTGCTATTGACTGAAATTGTGTACAACAAAGGAATTAAGTTCTCGTGAAGCTCTTCTGAACTCAACCATGACACATCACAAATACTGTTTTGATAACTTCCTGCATTGGATGGCTTTTGTTATATACCACTTTATGGACCTGGGCTGCAAAATTGCTAATAAAAGTATTGATGATAAAGAAAATAATAAGAATACTTTCTCAACATACAATGAGGGTGAGATGATTTTAAATTTCTGGGCATTTATATCTCGGAGGACCTCTCACGGACTATGAATGCTAACATGCTTGTGAAGAAGGCACAGAAGAGGCTGTATTTCCTGAGAATGCTTACAATCTTTTTGGACTGTTGCCTTCTGGCAGAAGATACAGAACAATTAAATTGGACCTCACGTTTTCTGAATAATTTTTATCCCAGAGCTATAATTGCACTCAACAATGAACTAAAGGGCCACCATCAGTGAGCTGTTGGACAGCATTACTTGGTCTGTTGTGTGGATGTTTGGGTGGTTTAGGGGTGGGGAATTTGTGGTGGGTGGGGGTGTGTTGGGGATTGTTATATGTGTTGGATCTGGTCTTTGGGTGTTAAGTGAATTTCGTTGTATGGGTATACTGTGTATACACGTACAATGACAATAAATTTGTGATGATAATGATGATGATGATGATGATGATGATGATGATGATGATGATGATGATGATGATTGGTTCTATTTCAGACCAGCTGGCCACATCTTCTTATATTACGTTGTGTTTCAAAGATAAAGCAGTCAGGTATATACAGGGGTGTTGCAAAAAGTCTAGAAAACCCACAGCAGGATTTGTTCAGAGGAAGTATTCAGCAGCCTCATTCATTCATTCATTCATTCATTCATTCATTTCTCTCTGCTTTTAAAGAGCTCAAGATGACTTTATTTTATTTATTTATTATGTATTTATTTTTCAAGCATATATAAGATAACAGGTAAAAGTATTACATGAAAAGAGTAAAAGTAAAAAGGAATATTAGGACAGGGACGGTAGGCACGCTGGTGCGCTTATGCACACCCCTTACAGACCTCTTAGGAATGGGGTGAGGTCAACAGTAGACAGTTTAAGGTTAACGTTGTGAGGGTTTGGGGAAGAAACTACAGAGTCAGGTAGGGCATTCCAGGCATTGACCACTCTGTTACTGAAGTCATAGTTTCTGCAATCGAGTTTGGAGCGGTTTACCTTGAGTTTGTATCTATTTTTTGCTCGTGTATTGTTGTGGTTGAAGCTGAAGTAGTCGTTGACAGGAAGGACATTGTGGCAGATAATTTTGTGTACTATGCTTAGGTCAGACCGAAGTCGGCGTAGTTCTAAGTTGTCTAAGCCCAAAATTTGAAGTCTGGTGGCATAAGGTATTTTATTGAGGTTAGAGGAATGGAGGACTCTTCTCGTAAAGTATCTGTATTATAAGGGACACATTATAATCTGTATAGACTCTTGATAATATCATGGGTTACATACAAACATAACCAATCCCTTAGTCCAGCAATCTGTTCTCACCATGACCAACTAATGGCACATAGAAGCCAACACATCTCCTAGCAGATAGCCTTAGAAATAGACACACCTCCATCAAGGCTAAGAGCCATAGATCATCATGAATTCCATAAACTGGTTGAACTCCTGTTTGAAGCCAGCCAAGCTGGTAGCCTGCACAACATTCATTCATTCATTCATTCATTCATTCATTCATTCATTCATTTAATCAATCAATCAATTTTCTATCCACCCATTTCCCCTACAAGATGACTATGGGTCACATACAAGGTGATTCCCCCCCTACAAAGTGACTCTGGACCTTTCATAGTAGTTAATTCTAAAGTTGAATTGCACATCATGTAATCCTTTTGTCTGTCCAGATTCTTTGAGGATTCAGTTTTATTTTATAGGCTGACCTCGGGTTCCTAGTATTTGGGGAAGGGGAAATAACTTTTCCTTCTCCATTTTATCCACACCATGCATCATTTTGTACCCCTCAATCATGTCTCCTCTCCTTCACCTCTTTTCTAAACTAAGAAGGCCCAAATATTGCAACCTTTCCTCATCAGAAAACTGCTCCATCCCCTTGAACATCTTAGTTTACATTCTGTGTCATTTTGCATTCCGCAGTTTACAAATCTTAGCACAGTCAATTTATAGAGAACCGTTTTCAGATTAGAGATTTCATCCCTCCTTCAATTTAAATTATGTACCCCCCCAAAAAAATCAGATAAATATTTATAAGAATGGATGATACCAAGTCTGAAGCAGCCTCGTCTCTAACGTAGGCATTTTTCAAATTCAAATGCCATCAGATGAGGGGAAAGAGGGCAGTTAAAAATCAGTCTTAATACACGTTGAAATTTAATCCTTCCATCTCAGTTTGCATCAGGAGAAATCCAGCATTGATCTATTGATTCGGAAAGAACCAACAAGGGTTTGTGAAGTCATGAAATATTTGCTAGAATAGCCATGGTTGATTCAATGCTGAACAGTGCCTGAGGAGAATCTAAATAATATTCTCAAATAGTAAATTCTATGAAGACAATTTCTTAATAAAGCAATGATACAAATATTTCCAGTCCTATCTATCCTCTTGCTACATGGGCTTTGTCCAGTTAAGTTAGATGGCATTTTTTCCTTTCGCTACGCCTCATTAAACCATGACAAATTACACTTAGACATGATTTATAGCTGTTTCCTTGATTACCAGTAGAAAGCCATCATAGATTCTGGAAACCTAGCGCAGAGTCAGCCAGAAATGTTAACAGAGCAAGCATGATCTTTCAGTTGTCCTAGAGCAGGGGTGTCAAACTCAATT